ACAATTATCTATAACCTACTAATTGTAAAAGGTGAGTGTAAGTCAAAATAATTTTATAATTACTACTAAAGTATTATTATTGATAATTTAATTTCCTTTCTCACCTAATTGCACAAGTCTTTCATTACATTCTTAAATAACAGCTGTTATTTTTTTAATCTTATACCTAGGTAATAATAATAATTATAATCAAACGTAAAAATCTAAAAATCTCCTATTCACCATTGAAACGCCTTCCATTTTATCCTACACAAAACGCCGAATAGGAAACCGGCCAATTCGGCCCAACCTTAAAAAAAATTTAATCAACTAAAACAATAGCGAGTAGTGGTAATTTAATTTTTCGAATCGGCTCCGTATACAAATCATTAGGAAGCGATAAAAAAGCGCAAAGAGAAAAGCGACCCAGGCACGAAGATTGACGTCTCTCTTTGTATTTCGTTCGGAAACTTAAGCGCTGTTAGTAATTTCAGCGTGTCGAGATAGGCACTAATTATAGGCGAACTTAAATTGTGTGCGTTTGAAAAAAAGAAAATTAATAGCGAACCGTGTGGAAGGTGCGGAATTCGAATGAGTAGTCACGAATTGAAAATTAGCCGAATTGAAAAAACTCCATCATGATCGGGAAACGGCATCCAGAAATGCTAATTCGCGAAAATGGTATTTTTAGATTAAAACCGAATTAATTTCGAGGCGAATTTATAGTTTCAAAGTAGCGCCTCGAAAGGCCGCGGATCGCACGCCAAAGCCCTTTGTGCGAGTTTTAATGAGACTAAAAATAAAGCGAACGGCCGGGCACTTTTCTGTAAATTCTTTTTCGTGCAATTATGCGGTGTCAACGTCGAAAACGGTCGTTTTGTTCCGATGCGGTGCGGTGCAAGAGCCTTGGAAGTAAAATTTAGCGTGCCGCAAACCGTACTTGGTAAGGTCATTTGCATAGAATATAAAAGACAAGGTAGATGTAGATGTAGATTCTGACCAATGAGGAATCACTGACGCGAGGGAGAAATTTCTCTTATTTGTATATGCAATTATTTATACGTTGTTTGCAATATTTTATTCGTAATAACACTATACATGGTGTTAATTAATTAACTATCTACCAATACTTCAGGATGTTTTTGGGCTATATTTGGATGATTTTAAGAAGAAAAGTTTATATAAATATATGTCCTAAACCTTTTAGTTTTCGAGCTACAAGGGGTGTTACAATTAAAAAAAACTTTTCTATCATAATTTTGTCTATTTGTCGTAATTATTAAACTTGGGAAAAATGGTTTTGGTTTTTATTTTTTTACGCGAAAATGGTGCGTCGTACGAAGGTCCGTCTTCGGATCGAATTTGCTCTAAAATAAATGAGGATTTTAAAAATAATTTTAGTTTTTAGAAAAAGCAGGTATTTGGTACCATTTTTTCTTCAAACATAATCAGTTCAAACCCCATGCGGACTTCACTGAAAATTTTTTTAAAAAATCTTTGGCATCAAAAAATGCTCCTTAATAATTAAAAAATGTGTACAAAATTACATAAAAATATCTGAAGTAATAAGAAAATTATGATAGAAAAGTAAATTTTTGTGTAAAATTGTAACACCCTGTTTCTCGAAAACTAAGAGGTTGTACACATATTGATTTCATTAATTTTCGCTATACATTGCGCAATTATGCAAAATCCTGCTTAATGCATTTACATTTTCATTTGATAGATTTACTTGATATAATTACTTCTTGTCAAATATCAAGAGTGTCTTGTAAATTTGTATGCTTAAAAATTATACGGAGAATGTCCCAAAATTTCATAAAATATTTACCTCTTCCTGCCTTCTTTAAACAATACACGAACAATTAGAGTTTCTCGTAAAGAAATCCTTTCAATCGTAATTAATGACAAATAAACATTTGCACTTAAGAGTTTCTTAATAACTTCAACATTGTAGAGGCGATAATTAAATCTAACAGAGTAACTTCTGTGCTGAGGCTTAACAATCAGCCAATAAAAAAATGTCTAATTACCCATTACCGTTTATTCCGTTATCTTTAAAATTGAAATTTATATTTCGCTTGGCGTTTCGACCAGAGTCCATTCTTTCAGTTAGTGGAACACAAAAGACACTCATGTTCATCAATACTTTCTAATATTCGCAACTGCTACTGTAAGTGCGTCGGCGAGGATTTTAATTTATTTTCATTATTTCGAATTAGCTTTGCCTTAACTATTTCCTAATGAATTTCAAGTTGGTTAATTAAATTGCACTTACTCGCTTCTTATTTATGTTTCGACACAATGTTGTTGGCGAATTTATTACAAATTACCTGGTTGTTTATCGATTTAGCTAACCTCCCTCGTATTAAAATAATGGTCGAATTAAGTGGAAAATGCAACAAATTGCGGAGACGAAAGCCCGAAACCGTCCTTCCGCATCGAAATTGACCGCAAAACGCGATCACAATGACACAAAAGACGCGTAATGATACCGTTTCGTTTTTTTTTTCGAAAAATTACGGCAATTTCGAAGAGGAAGCGCGTAATTAAATGAGTTATGGATACGAATTAATCTAATTCGATAATTGGGAAAAATGATGACGATAATAATGGAAAGATTGCGTGGAAGGAGACAATGAAAAGGAACATTGTTGACATATTCGAATGGGGGTTCCGTTTCGCAACAATTACAGCCCATGCGGAACCGGATAAATGGCTTTTAAAAACCGAATTAAAAATTCGAGTGCATATTTTGTAATTTGCTTGTTTAGCCGTATCTAATTACAAAATCTCAGCTCATCACGATGAAATATTCATAATCCACGACAATATTATTTAATGAAGCTTCTTATTATACTTTTTGAAAATCGATACTGGCTACAAGAGTATAAAGAAAATGGGTAAACTCCGTTGTTTTAAATATATATTCACGTTATATTATGTTAAAAGAATATTTAATTTAAGACGCCCTTTTGTTTGTAACAATCTGAAATTTTAACAGACAACTTCTATCATCAAAAGTGTCTTTTAATAAATAAGGATCCCATCAGTTTTATAATTATAGATTACATTCTATGTCAATACAAAACTATTTGAGCATCAATTTAAACTTAGATTTCTATAGTAAATTAATTACCTAATTACTTAATCTAATAGAAGAGTGCGTTAAAGGGTTCTAGAAATGATATTATATCTGAAAAATTCTACATATTAGGTATACTTATTTTTTGCAAAATTACAAATAATTAGGTAATCATCATAATTAGGTTATTATTAATTAGATTCGACTGAATCTGCAATGTAGAAATTTGGCTTCAAATTCGGAACGTTTCCGACGCATATATTGAATTGAGTAATCTGAAATATTGTAGGAGAAACATATCTTCCATTTAAATGAAAATAGAATGGAAAACTATACAATAGGATTGCTTGTAGATCGCAATCGAGAATTTCCATGGAAACTCCTAATTTATTTCATTCCGAATGTCGGATTTCGTATACTGTTTAATCTTGATTACACGCTGGAATTTACCTAACAAAAACGTTCATGTTTCTCTCTAATTTGTACGATTTTATCGACACACACTATATCCAGTAAACTGCGGAGTTACATATACGAATATTCGAATACTGAAATCATTAGATTTTTACATACAAAGTTAACATAAATGCATTATATTGAAGCGCTATTTAGCAACAGTTCAAATCTCCCTAAAACATATTACACTTGTTAACACTCCCCCTACACACTCATTACCAGAATAACCAAATAAAGTAGACCCACAAAATTTTGCTGATTGACATCTGATTGACAGTCGATAAGTGTAGGTTACAATCGCCCCCTGTCAGCATTTATTTGGCCAAGTAATGGTTCAGCAAATAAAGGGATGATACTGGTACACTCATATATAGACATTTAATTTTTGGTGTGTGTAAAAGAATCCTTCCTGGCCTACATAGGAAACGGACAAGGGTTAGGAACTTGAGAAAATATAGGAGAAACTGATTGTTTTTCACGAAGATGAGACGTATTGAACGCGAAATAATGGTAACCATTCACCAGAAAACATGCATTTAAGACGAATAGTGAATGTTAAAGTGTAGTTAAAATTTTACTGTTAGACATAAAAACTGAATTCTAAGATTTTTACGGCGCGAAAGACACAAAGTTCTTTTTAAAACATCTTTAACCGTTCGTATAAATCAATTTTTGTGTTATCCAATCTAAATATAATAAAACGATAATGGCTGCTTTAAACTCCGTTACGACGATTTCAAAAATGTATTTTACATTTCCTCAAACACAACGAATCAATGTATTTTTAGTTACATATACAATGTTGTAGAACTAAATTCTTTATGATGATACTGAGTAAATAAAATTATACATATAAAACATTGAATTATAAATTACCTATCTTAGAGGAACATATTATAAAAATAGTAGCAATTTAAGTTGGAATGTAAGTTAAATGGTAAAGCTAGATATTTGAAATATTCCCATAACTACATAACGGAAATTAAATTCTATAATATTGTAGTGGAATCAAACGTGCATAAACATCAAACGAGAAACCCATTTCTAGTCAGATATAAACATCCATTAAATCAAACTTCTCGCGATCTCGCACACGCAGAAGAGGCGCAGACGAAGATGGAAATCGAGAGTATATACGTATAGGGCTCGGGCGAATATGAGCCGTCGAGGGGCCGGGGGGACCACCTAATGAAGCGGACTCACCTTGCTTATAAATTACGACCGAACTCCATGCTATAACGGTCCGATATGGGCAAGATAAGCACCGGCAGCCCGGCGGGGGGCTGGCCCCCCCGTCGATCCCACTGTCGTACACTCTAATCAACTTTAAAACCGAATAAAATATACGCGACTGCGACCGGGAACGATATCAAAAGGGAATATTCCAATTCGAAGTTTTATCATATTTTTATCATCAACTTTAATCCATTCGAAGATGAGGTGTTAATAAAAACTATGTGAACTTTTAAGTAGGTACCAATATATATCATAAAAAAATAAAAACAAAATAAACAGTCGCATTTAATAATTTAATTCCTGTCCTTTCCTCAAGTACATTTGAAGTCTTTATCGTTGTCGCGGGATAATCGATAGGCTGTTTTTAATTTTTCGGATAATTCCTCGATTTTTCTGGATTCCGGGGTGTTGGGCGGCGGTTCCTGACACGCTGTGCCCGACACTAGGCATACAGGCAAGTAATTCGAGTAACAATTCGCCTCTTTGCGCACTTTAATATCGTTTTCTGCGAAGTACCGCATGAACGTGTTGTAACAGGAGCAGAAGAAGTAATTGTAGTCCAAGTAAATTTCGCTTATGATTAGCTTCTCCAGAAGTTCGGTAGGGATATCGTGCAAGTAATTCCCGGCTATATTCAGCGTTTCCACGGTTAACTTGCCAGGAAAAACGTTCTCGCCGATCGACTTGAGTCGGTTGTTCGATAAGTTCAATAATTTCAATGATTTCAATCTGCGGAACGCCCCGGAACCGATGTAGTAAATTTTGTTGTTCTGAAATTCTATAGTCTCCAACTCCATCATGTCTTCGAAGGCTGTCTTCGGAATCTTCGTGATGCGGTTGTTCCTAAAATTGAGTTGCCTAATGCGCGGGGAGTACGCGAACCACACGGGATTGAATTCGCTGAAATTGTTGTAGCTGAAATCCACCTCGGTAAGAGTCATGTTGGACAAGGCCTCGTCGGTTATCGTGTTGATGTTGTTATTGTTTAATCGCAATATGTGGATCGTGTCAAAAATATCGAATATACCTAAAATGAAGAAACACTGAAGTACTTTCAATATTCATATAGTCAATAATCATTTACCTCCTTGTATTAGAGTCAATTTGGGATTGTGAGAAATTTCTACTAGCCATATAGATGGTAGGTTTCTGAAAGCTCCTGGTAATATGCTCTTTATTGAACAATTTTGGAATTTTAATGTGTGCAGTTTTACTAAGTGCCTTACGAAATCTTTTCCTAAAGTTGGAAGGTACTGATTTTTTACATATATTTCAGTAGCAGTTAGTCCATTGAGTATTTTCCTTTCTATGCAAGCGGAAACTGTTAGATTCGACCAGATGCCTGTAAAAAACCATAATTATCAATCTAGGTTGTGGTTTTGCGGTCAAAATGAGGAAATATCTACAGATACTTACAGTGAATTAAGCACTTTAATGTAAGTATTTATAGAAAATACAAAATGGAAATAATAATAGGTTTGTTCCTACAACAGTCAGAAATAGTCGGTGGTCGTCAGGAGTCTGCGCAGTAATAATTTAGGCGTTCCAACAAACTCCATAGACATCTCTGATTCTGACTTGGTTAACAATTTATTGTTCCAACAGTTCAAGGGACTGGTTTTGTGATGGTCAGAAAAATTTGCTGATAGTACAGAGATTTAGAATCCGGCGCAAGCGCATTTTTAATTCGCGTTTAATTCGTATTTCTGAATATAGGTTAATTATTAGGTTATGTTGCTGGTTGTTTTTGTTTGATACTTGATGAATATGTAATAAATGTAAAGACTGTTCCATCAAGAAATCGGAAATTTGATAACACCATTCAATCATAAACCGCGCATGCGAAATAGAAGAGTCAGAAACTTATTGGTAACAAATCAGTGACTTTTTGTAGGAACAAACCTAATATTCATCCAAAAAATATATTGTCACAGACTAATTACAAGCTTACATCTCTCATTAAAAAAATTCACAATCTTTCCCATTAATATAAATTACAAAACCTACAATATAGATTAAAGTAAGGAAATTGGTATTTACCCGTTTTGTCTTTGATTGTAAGGGTGACATCTTCTAAACCTCTGCAGCATTCTGTTAATATCACCGAATAACTGATCACAAGAATTAAAAACAATAGTTTACACTTAAAACCCATGTTTGTTATAACATGAAGTCAAGCATGAACTGTCTACTGACCCAAGATTGAATGGTGATAAAATGCCGATAAAATTATACTGTTGAATACATTTCTTGAGTTTTCTTTTACAGTAGCTAAATTGACGGTTCTGTGAATTTAGGAAGTATTATTTTGAGGATATATTTCAACTATACAAATATAAAAGGGAAGTAGTTCCTTTAACTATTTTTTATTTTTAAATTGATTTCTAAAATTACCGGGAAAGGAGGAAAAGTTATCTTCAAATTCATTATTTTGACGTTTACGTAAGTATATTCACTACCAGTTTTGAGGTCAATGTAATCGGAATTCCCCAATGTAGGACTTATTAAATTATTGTGAGAAACGGATTTATTCATTTTTACCATTGTCTCCATGCATTCCGAGAATACAACAACTGTATTTTTGCAAGTATTATCAACAAAATTCTACATTTCCAAGTGATAAGAAGATTGCTAATTTTTTTCAAGGTTGAGCCAGACATGTACAAAATAAACCTATTATTTTAGTTATTTTCATTTATGTTTGATAGTCAAAAATTTTTCTTCAATTAAAAACGAAGAAAAAAAAAGAAAAAAAATTCGCTGCGAACAGGATTCGAACCTGTGCGGGCAGAGCCCATTTGATTTCGAGTCAAACTCCTTAACCACTCGGACATCGCAGCTTGTATACAATATCAGCATAACGGGTATTTAAACTCACCTACATTATATAGGTATATTTTATATTTAATATTATTTTCTAGTATGTTGATATACAATAATTATTTTTATAAAAATTAGCTAATAAGAAATAATGAATATTTTATTAAATGTGTAATGTTTTACTATTATATTTAATATGGAACTGTATTTAAGTGCTAATTTTATAGTATTTAGTTGATTTAATAGCCCATTTTTGTTAATTTGATTGTAATATTGTATTTTATACAGTGCGAGCCAAAAGTCTCTAACACAATTTATTCATATTATTTATACAGGTAGAAGCAAAATTATCTCTGGATGCAACAAAGACAACTTCTATTAGTCTCATATTAAAGAAAAAAAAAGAGTGATATTGTGAGATTGCAACTTTCTAACTTTAAAACCACCGTTATTTTAATAATCTTTCTTTGTTCAACTTATTATAAGAATTGACCATATACAGGTAGATGCGAAATTGTTTGCAATATAGGCTATGACTGCAGCAAAGACTTCTGTTATAGTCTCATATAAAGGAAAAATAAAGAGTGATATATGGTGGAATTACAACTTTCTCATTCTAATCACTGTTAATTTTAATAACCATTCTCTGTTCTACTCATAGTTTTGACTGTATTGCAAATAATTTTGCATTGATGTGTATTTGTAGGTATAGGTTAATTACTTAAGTTTGTGTAGACATTTGTTTTTTTTTTTAAGTCTAATATTTAAAAAAAATTGAATATATAGAATGTGGTAGGTATAAAAAGTTGGAACCTTGGGTCCAATAATCCAACTGTAGATAATATTCTTGGGACACCCTGTATAATTTTCCTACACATCATGAGTAGATAAAACATTACATATTTATATTGGTAAGAACATCAATATTAGCAGAAATTTGTGCACAGCACACAACCGAACATGTCAATTTCGAAGACTTTATCGTAAAAGGCTTTCAAAAAACCATTAGATACACAAATTTTTATGTCAGCAAACAAACGAATATTGTTATTAATACACTAGTAACATCGCCCTCTATTTACTCTCTTGTAATACAAGCGATTACGCTATTGGTATAATAGGTAAAGGTTTCCGATCGTTATCAAACTTTTCATGTGCAGTTTTTACGGGAAACTAAAACCGTCCCTTTCAATCCACTCCAATCACAGTAGGTGTCACCAATTTCCACCGCACCGACGAGAAGTAGGCGATGAGAAATTAAAAAACCCATCCCGACTTTTTCCCTCGACGCCATGACGTCGATCTTATTCGGGCTGGTAAATATTCAACAGTCCATTACAATATCTATTAGAGATAATTAGAAACATCAAAGTTCGATGCAATTTTAATGACCCGAAAGCGCCCCGTCGCTGAATTTTTAAACAGCCCGCGTTATTTTTAACTCTCGCCTGTCGTCGCAAAAATTTCGCCCGGAATATCTGCTTCTACACGTAGATGATCCAATTAACCTTTCAAAAAATTATTAATGGCTCCGCCGCTGGTTTCTCGCCCTTCGTGACATTCCTATGAACATTTAAATAATGCAGGGCTTAAATGCGCCGGCACAGGCACAGGTGCACCCTGGCGGTGCAATGCAAGGAGCGAAGATTGCATGCAAATGTCCTCGAAAACGCCGGGATAGGACCGGGAAACGCAAAGGTTCATTCCAAATAAACAAAAATATCTTTATGCTTCCTGCCTGCGCGAAATTCCCCTCACGATTTTCCTGACGGATCCTGGAAATTTATACCGATCATGAACGGAACATTATTAGATAATATCACCGGAGTAACTATTCCTGTCGATTCAAAATAATAGAAATTTAATTTTTTTGGTTCAACTAGCTCATTTTCTAGTTTTTTTCGCATTGTATGCGAATAAGTAGGACTTTAATATGCGTTCCATGATACATAACCAAAAACTGACAAAATTGACATTGATGACATTTCGTATGACAGAAGTTTAATAGAGGTGAGAATCATTTTTTTAGTATAGAGGAGCAGTAACGACTGTTACAAAATTTTTGAAATGTCGTCCCCATTTCTCTCCACTATCTTCTGCTCCACTCATTGTTATTTTGATGTGGAATTGTACGAAGCAAGTTTGACAAAAATAGGATCGATTTTCCCATGGGTTTCTATATTTTATCTATAATCTTACAGACACACAAGTGGCCCATATAAAAATGACAAAACAAGCGACGTTTAAATACACTCTCTCCCAACTAGGCGAACGTATTTAGCATCAAGCGAGGTAAATTCATTAAATTATACGACACACTATAAAATATAATATGATAAAGCTGGCAAAAGCGCGTTTATTAAAAATACGAGTGTAAAGTTTATCTTTTATGATGGTCGTAAAGCAGTATCAAGCGACAAAAGAGCATCTATTAAAATGGATCTGCCAACGTGGTATGCCATGAGAGAGGCAACAGGTGTGCCATCTTTGTATTTAAATATGTAATTAATGCTCCTCGTTGCATCCGAGTTATGGAGGAAGGATGCACTTCAATGTTTCCTATATCGCCATTTCAACAAGCACTTTCTTCATTATCTATTAATTCTCGATTGAATTAATTTTAAAAACAAAAAAATGTACCATTTAGTAGATGATATTAGATACATGATCTTTCGCTTATACCATCCTTTGCATTACTATTTTTTTAATTTCATTTGACACCTCTCGAATTTATTTTACTATTTCAACAAAATAGGTGGTAATTTAGGTATTTTTCTGTTTGCTCTTGGGTGTCTAGATTTATTCGCGGTGTATGAAGGTTGAATGGAAAAGCGAAGAGGGGTGGTGGGGCAGGTCCGGGCTGGCGAGCAAGCGGTAAATGCGGAGCTAATGGGCATCGGTTGCCCCCCGCTGGGCCCCATCTACATATGACATTCCTCGCTGCGGGCCGGCCTGTGAGAAAATGAAACAATCAAGAATCAAGGGATTATAACATAAGCGAGGCCTGCTTGATCGCTTAACAGATACCCATCCTTTGCTTTCGAATAAATATGCTTCGTTTTTTTTTTGTTTTTTTTCGTATATCGCCGGTTTTTTCTCGAGGTACGAGATGGATGGTGATTAAAATAAAAGGAATTTTCGTGATTTATATCTTTTTTTGTTCTTAGAATTTATGCGTTGAACGATTTCTATCTAAAAGAAACGAGTTTTGAATATTTTGAATTCGGTTTCTTCGGCCGCAGATGGAATAGGAATTCTTTGAATATCTTACTCAATTCGGTTTGCTTTAGTAAGTACTTTTTTTATATAGAATCCATTTCGATTAACATTCATTTATTTTAATTCAATTTATTATTATTGCCTAGTTAGACACATATTAGTTCATTTGGATTTTTCCTTAATTCTTTGTAAGGTATCTACATCATTGAATTTATTTACATTTAAATTTTAAATAGCCAAATTAGACATTTTTTTCGCTTTTTTAATTACTAGTTTCAAATCAACTCCAAGCTTTTTACAAAATCGACAAGAATTTTCTCTCGAGATACCTATTCTCTCTTCAAATTTCTTCTAATTTACATTGATAGATAACTAAAACAGCTAAATAACAGTGGATGTTTATCAATCGTCAGGGCCACCCTCTGTTAATCCAAAAAATTCGGCGAACACACTAATATAAATCTTCCTTCTTTCCCTTGTAACGCTCGAGTTAGACGGTGAGCGATCAATCAACACCTTGCAGTTTCGACCCATTTAACATTCACCGCGTTGAGAAATGTAGGGTTTCTTGATCTCCTGGATTTAGCGGAATTTCTTTTAGTGAATTACTTTCTCTATGGGGCGTAACGGACGACGAACCCGATGGAACCACATTAATCTAACACTTATTAGTTTCGCACCAATTTTGTAATCAGTTTAAGATAAACTTTAATCCGCTTGCTTTAATTGCACTCCTTTCGTGAATACACCCACAGCAAAGTAGGCATGCGCCCATACGGCATTCAAGTAAGTCATCGTTTGAATGATATGTAGTAGCATCGAGCCTGTGCTACTGAAGAAGAAAAATACACGTGCAATTAATAACCAGAGTCGAGTTTAATTTATGTTCTTGTCTATGTCTAGTATGTACAGACGCAATTAAGATATTCAACGGTTAACGATTTACTCAATATAAGCTCACCAGACGGTGTTGTGTAATATTTATTAACGGGCAGGGTTTCAGCGAAATTTCCCATTTTCACGGGAGAAATTATTAGTATTTTTTAACGAATTTATCTGAATTATAATCCTACCGAAATTCCGCAAAAAAATTGTTATGTATCAGAAAAAGTAGGACTTTAAGATGCGTTCGATGATACATACAAAAAA